TGAAACATTTCTAATAAACAGTATCTCTTGGAGTTTCAGTAGTGTCACAAAGTAGTGAATAAGCATGTGCAGGGGTAAATGTAAGGATTGTTAACCTATATAAACAGAATTTTAAATTTCAGTGTGTTTTATTCTGATTTTTAAGACAAGAGGTGGTCTGTAATGGATTCAAATGTTTCATTTGTAGTATAATGAAATGTTTACAGAAAGAACTTTTTCATTAAAATATTTTTAGAAATGTGTGTGTTTTGTCGCTTCACAATTTCATGTGACTTAAATGCTAAAGGTGAATATTACATACTTTACTAGTAGGTAATTAACAGGCAACTTGGAATGCCTTCACGTATCAATTTAAAAGATGTTGTTGAGCATTTTGTGGTGTGAGGGTGGGCTGGGGGAAAAGAGGTTTCATGAAATTAGCCTTAAGCTACAGTGGTACAGTATAACCCAAGTAAAGGTGATAACAGTCATTTGTTCAACTTTGATAAATTTTTGAGGTAGGTTTTTGGTAATTTTAAGAAATGTTTTTATAGCACAAATGTTTGGGTTCTTAGGATTCATTAATAGATGTTAACATTTTAAGTGAAATGCTTTGTGAATTGAAGCCACGTGAGGATTTTTTTGGAAAGAATTGTGACGCATCTTACTTGTAGTCAACACTGGTTTTGTAGTACATGCAGTAGTTTCATATTCTCTGCACCTGTAATACCTTATAGTTCCAGTTTAATACTTAAATCCCAGAATAACTCAGAACAGGAATAGGCTTCATTTCTACCAAAAATAAGTATATATTTACTTTCTCAGAATGAAAATAACGTAAGTTTAACTGTAGTCAGGCAACAAGATAAATTGGAGGCATCCATGTAATCATAACAGACTGCAATGAAATGTTTTAAAGATTACTGTTTCCTTTTGCAAAAATGGGATCTTGCTAATACAATAGGTTGACTTATAATTGAATAGAAAGTACCACGGGTTGAGGGGAGAGTAAAGCAATAGGTAAATTGTGCCATTTTTGCTTGTTTTCAAAGACACATAATGGGAAGCACACGGGCACGTTGAACTGTGCATTGTGTGCTAGAGGTTAAATGAGCACAGTACTGAAGGCTAGGAAATAGGAATTTACTATTTACCATACTACTAACATTTATGGATAAGTGTGGATAAATAATGAGTACAAGTGTTGACACCTTTAAAATACTTGCAAAAGATATGGTTAAATTTCACTACATCTCTATGGCCATTAAAATTAATAAAGGGCTTATAATCACAGAGATGGAAATTGTATCAGATGCTAACTAGCTCTATCAAAGCTACAGGTAATTGTCATTTTAAAAATGTGTTAGTCCAGGGACCGGCCCTGTGGCCGAGTGGTTAAGTTCGCCCGCTACGCTGCAGCGGCTCAGGGTTTCACTGGTTCAGATCCTGGGCGTGGACGTGGCACCACTCGTCAGGCCATGCTGAAGCAGCATCCCACATGCCGCAACTGAAAGGACCCACAACTAAGAATATACAACTATGTACTAGGGGGTATTTGGGGAGAAAAAGAAAGAATTAAAAAGTGTATTAGTCTATGCATTTCTGTCAACAGAAGTGTAAAGTATGCTTACATCCAAAGAACTCTGATGTGTTTGGATTTAGTCTCAATTATCTGCTCTCACACGCTTATTTAATAGGTGCTGGAAGAAAATGCAATTAGGTTTTTGTTTGATTCTTACATAGCAGGTTTTACTTGTCAGTAAAAAGTTTATAGTAGTAGTTTTGTGAGCTTGGGCGAGTTATTTGTGGCTTTCTAATTTTTTTATGCCATGCTCCCCTTTGACAGTTTGATGCCAATAGACCCTTTAGGATGTTTATTTCACATGCGTTAAATATGTAGAATTAAACATTACATTGTAAACAGTTGTCACAATATTAAGTTTGATTTAGTAATGGGTGCTGTATTAAGTGAGGTTAGCGGTGGGTCTGACTTACACCTTTGAAGTTGTGATGCATAAATGGTATTTTGAGAAACTTGGAACAGTAATCTGATATTAAAGTTGTGATTTCAAGTATGAAAGTCACAAGTCCTGTGAATACCATTGTGGTTTGTTGCCTGCAGCATTGAAGGAAATGTTTTAGTGTTAGTGAAAATAAAGAAGTAATGTTCTCCCAATCAAAATTCCCTGACCTAAATTCTATCCAGATTAAGAACGGTTTTCAGCTAAGTTTTTTGTAAAACAGAGATGATATCTACCCTTAAGTCTGAAGATTAAATGTGAAAACGGGCTTAAAGAGCCTTAGCGCCAGGTCCTTGGTCCCTAAAGATAGTATTTTTGGTGGTAATTGTGGGTGCTGCCATAATATCCTGAAGAAGATCTAAAATTTTATTGGGTGGCATTAAAAGATAATTCCCAAGTTTGAGACTTTTTCTCCGAGTAGGATTGAAGTTTTTATTGTGTTTAAATTTTTTCCACTTCCTCAAAAAGTACTAAAAAGCATCAGCTGAAAACTGAAACTGGCCTGATAAATATCTTTAAAATAGGAATGAGAATTACCTTGTAAATGTTCTGAGGCTTAAAACAGAAGCATGGGTATGAGAAGTCTGTAAGGTACGTCTGAGCGCCCACCCCTTCCCTCAAAAGGGCTCAAGAAATCTCAGTCAGAAAATGGTTTCTTACGTAACATGCAGTGTCATGCAGTTAAAATTCTGAGAGTGCGTGATATACTTGAGTGTAAAGGCATAGGTACACATTTTAAAACTAGAAACAGTTCAAGGTTTAACAATTGGATAGCCACATTTAATTTGAGGACAGATGTAAGGCTCTAATATTTAAATTCCAGATTGAGATGAAAACTTGTTGTTTTTCAGTCTTGGGGAAGTTAGGATTTGTTATGCTGTGAATTTTTAGTTTCTAACTATATAATGCAGTATGTTTAGTACTTGAAAGTAATGATGTTTAGGTACTAAGGTTCTAAGGTCAGTTATCTTGAATGAGCTCCATAAAATATTTTGAAACTTGACTAAAAGTGCACATGAGAGATGGCATTTGTCATCAGGTTTCCGCCCAGAGTGCTCTTCCTTGTAGTAGGTGCTGGCCAATTCCAGGTGCTCCAGATGGGGCTCTGCTAACAGATTCTTGCCACCACCCCCAATCCCCACCCATAGTTTTGTCCAAGTGTGGGGCACTTCACTCAAGATCTGAGACTTTTGTCATCTGAGGTTGGGAAAGTGATGACTCCTCCAGGGATCTCGCCAGCACTACAGGAAGAAATTCTTGACCATACAAGAAAGGCCAACAGCAGAATCTTCACATTTGAATGCTTAGATCTGTTCTTTGAAGTCATTTTCAACCCTGAGCCTTCTAGTTAACTGAATTCTTAAGCTAATTTGACTTCTGGGTCTTTCACTTGGAACAAAAAGGCATTGTAATACAAGGCTAAAGAAAATGAAAAGTTTTTAGAGTGCTCTCGATGAGCTAGGCACAGTACTTGTGGAGTAACTCACTGAATGCTTATCCTTGCTTTATGGATGAGGAATGGCGTCTAAGTGCTTTGAGTTACTGGGGGTTCTAGAAAAATGGCGGCGGCAAGTCCAGGTGGTCTGGCGCTAGGTCGGTTGGACCTCTGCACCATGTTGCTCCCTAATGGGTTGCTAGAACCTTCTGAATAATTTGCGTGTAGTAGGGCTTATTCTAAACATGCATATTAACTCTCAGGTGACTCTCCATTTTCCCACTTAAAAACAAAACCAGACAGACATTGGATTAGATGAAGAAATAGTGAATCAGTGCTACAAATGGTTTATTGGGCAGCCAGCAGATTTTCAGTTTTGAGGGGCTTTGGCTTTATACCCGCTGGTTACATGTTTAATCTCTCAGTATGTCCCAGAGTGGACTGATCTTCCCATCACCTAGACTCCCTCTAACTAGCCTTAGCCATCTGGACAGCTCAGTTCTTTTCTGAGGAGGATTCACCCTGAGCTAACATCTGTGCCAGGCTTCCTCCAGTTTATATGTAGGTTGCTGCCACAGCATGGCGGACAAATGGTGTAGGTCCACACCCAGGATCTAAATCTGCAAACCTGGGCTGTGGAAACAGAGTGCTCCAGACTTAACCTCTATGCCACAGGGCCGGTCCTTGGACAGTTCACTTCTTAAAGATGAACGTTCAAGTCTGACTCCACCTTCACCCTGTCTCCATTCTGTCCGGAAACCCTTTTAGTTCTACTTTTGAAACCTGCAGAATCCAATGCCGCCTCACTCTCCTGCTGTCACCCTACAGTAGGATGATGGCGTATCCCATGTGACTATTTCAGAGCCTCCCCATTGGTCTCCCTGCTCCCACCTTTACCCTCTAGCCAGTTCTCAACACAAGGCAGAGGAAACTTAGAAATCAGATGTTACTCCTCTGGAGGCTTAACAAGGCTCTGTACCATGTTCACTCTACCTGCCCACCATTTTTCTCCCCCTCTGTTCAGCCATATAATCCTGGTTCTTACACAGGCCTCAGAACCTTTGGACTGATTGTGTCCTGTCTGCAATACTCTTCAGCTTATAGAACAGGTCTCGCACACCTTCAAATGTTGCCACCTCAGTGAGGCTTTTCCTATTTACAAGCCTATTTTAAATCGCAATGCTTCCTTTTTGCTGGTCTTCCCAGTCCTCTTTCTGGCATAGTATTGTATGTTTGCTGTCTTCCTCCAGTAGTTCAGGAGGACAGGGATTCCCATTTTGTCCTTTAAACAATGCTTAGCACATAGTTCGCATACTATTGATGTGAATAAATGAATCCATGTTTTCATGTCAAAGTAGGATGTTTTCCTCGGTTGAGATGTTCCTGCTGGAAGAGAGAAAATATCTTCTTGATATGCTTCGTCTATATCTCTGCCACCAGAAGTTTAGTGTGAAATGCTTTTCCTATGTTTCAGTGAAAACATTCTGAAAATGCAAACCACTTAAACATATGTATTATTAATGGCATGGAAAAGACCGAATAAACTCGAATGAATTCCAGAAAAATAATTTAACAGTCATAATATTCCTTTATTAGTACCAGCTTTTCAACTAAATTGTTTTTGCCAGAGCTAGACAATTTAATATAAAAAAATGCCATTTTTTTGTTCATAACAGTATTTATAAAAAAGTACATAGTGGTTAGTTTTGCAACAATTTGCTTTTTAGCCAGATGTATCATATAAATCTAGGAACGTAACAAATGAGATAAGAACAGTATAAATAAAGTTTTTGTAGTATTTACACTTACACAGAAACTAGCCCAAATGGTGTTCTAAGAAATTAAGTTTGCAGTTAAAGTGAAACTACTGATTCAGCATACTGATAACTTATTTTATTTAATGCTTTTTAAAGTTTTATATCTTCTACACTAGTTTGGACTATAAATTTGCATAGAATTACTTATAAAGTATATTTCTGCATTTCACATCACAGTAGGAGCTTTTAGTATAACAGTACAAAAAAACACTAGCTCAAAAGGTCATCTTCCCAAGTCTACTTCTTGACGTCTGTCTTCCTGCTCTTGGGAACAAGGAACACGCTGCCGTCTCTCGTCTGCTGCAGGGAGTATTCGCTGGGGGAGTAAGGTCTTCCATCTTCGTCACGTAGCATGCTGAAGACTTCGAGATACAAGGTGCTGAGTTGTTTTTTCAATAGGTGGAGGCTTTTGTCGTTTTCTCCTTTTTCTTTGAGCAATTTTTCTTTTTCATCTTTTAAATGATCCAAGTCTTGCTCCAGTTCCACAATGTTTTCCAGTTTTCTTTTTCTGCAATTCTGAGCAGCCACTTTATTCTTACCCCTCCTGCGTATGTCTCGAATTAATGCGAGTTGAGCCTCGTTGAACTGCTCCTTGGACATCATTTCATTGAAGTCTTCAACAGGCAGGTTAATGATCTTTTCGACAGGGAATGGGATGTGGAGAGCTTTTGCCCTTAGCTCATCTCTTGTGAGATGAACCTCCAAGCGGCTTGAGTGTTTGTCTTTTGTGAATGGGGTTTTTCGATGACCAGGACTTATAGGCACTTCTTTCTTTGGCGTGTTTTCACGCTGGGCATCATGCACTGGAACACTGTGCCCCTGAGATGGTGACATGGGTTGGACTGTATCCCCAGAAGACTGCACTGGCTGTGTTTTAGGACCATTCTGTTTGACACTTCCAGGGGCACTATCTGTCTCTTCCATTTCAGAATCACTGAAGCCAAGTGGTGTGTCTTCATAGGTAGAAGATTCCACTGAGTGTTCTGGTGATGCCATGCTGGGACTCGTGCGCAGTGAAATGCCAGAGTCAGAATCGTTGAATTCTGATGTGCTTTCAGGGTGATTTTGGTTGAAGGCTTTACAAAGTGATAGATCAGAAACATCAATGGGCCCGTTGAGAAGTTCGGAGAGTGACTGGCTTACAGTAGCCGAGGAGGGCATGCTACTGCTGACGCTGGGCTCTACGAAAGCAGAATAAAACCCATCGCCAAAATCGGGGTTTATCGTGGCCTCTGAGTTTAAGGAGTTCATTGTCAACTGGCTGGTGTCTTCTGTGGAGAGGATGCTGCTGAAGGAATCGTCAAAAGCATTGAGAAGCTGTGGACTGCAGTTACCTACTTCTTTTTCCAGTGAGGGGATCGATGAGTAGAAATGGTAATTGTTGTCAATTTCTGTCACTTTGGTTTCTGAACTTGGAACCGTGCTAGTCTCAACCAGCTTGTCGTTTTGAATGTTAAGACACTGTGGAAAAGAATGTTAGAGTATGTAAATCAAGGTTAGTATTTTTGATAGCTGATAATCCATAGCTGATGGTAAACTCTCTCCCCCATCAAGCTCTTCTATAATTCTGAGATAATTCCCATTTCCAACAGATAAAAAAGCATATGTATTAATTTCAGAGTTCCTAGATGAGACTTCAGGTTTATAACTTGATCTGTCTTCAAAATATCCAGCCCATTTAACTAACAGAAGTGCACTTAAGAGAGCATGGGCAGCTGTCATGACTAATTTAAAAGCATCCTCCAACCTTTCCTATAAGTAGGTGGCATATAAATAATAACCAAAGTGACTAATTTAAAGGCACTGAATATAAAATAGCATCTTTGGGATTTACTTATTAGGTCTTAGTTACCTGTAATTCTGGAATGGATAATAGCTCCTCCCAAACTTGCTCAAGGTCCTGCTGCATATTGTCTGAATCAGCAACGGCTGGCTGAAGGACAAGAGTTTCAGGTGACTGGGCCTGGTTAGGAGCAATGAAGTCTGGGCTCTCGATGTTGCTGGGAATATCAGGAACAAGTGATTGAAACGTAGCTGGAGAAACCTAAAATTGACAAGGCATTTATCTACATGAGTCTGCCACCAACAGTGGATGAGCACGCTCCAAGGCCCCATCACGACACCTTCAACTGAACTGGCTGCAGTTCTGTATTTCTCCACTTAGAAGTACCACCTAGGACCCCTGTTTCTACTGAATGAAACAAATCATTTGTTACTGACCCATCTGACTCCAAATTTGCTCATTTACTAGCCTGTTTTATCCTCTGCGTTTGAAGGTGAACTTCAAAATAGATAAGAACAATCATTAGGATTTAATTTCTATCTATATAATACCTAGTGTAGTGCTTCAACCACAACAGATTAATTAAAATTGCTAATTGAACAAGTCTTGGTTTATTGCCCAGCTTGCTTTTTACTTACCAAAATTTATTTCCAAGTACCCATATAAACAAATGACTGACTTGTTTCCATGGTTATGCTGAGCCATGTTTCTCACTATGCAGGGGTAAACATTTTTGGTTTTGTACTGTGGGGGGGGGGGTCTTTTTTTTTTAATTGTAAAGTTATCTGTAGGCCAGGGTTTCCTTGACAAAATTGCCTCCTAAAATAGATTTTTTCATTCTTTTTTTTAATGGGGAGACGTTAAAGGGCTCCATACAGGATACATTAGATGCAGTTGTGGAGTCTTGCTGTTAACAAATGTTATACCTCATTGTCATCTACAAACGGGAATGTCTCTGCCAAAAGCTGCATGCAGTCATCGAAGTTCAGAGCATCTGGTTTGGGAATGTGGGAAACCTGGATAATAGAGAATGACATAAAGGAAGAAGAAAATCATTCATTGTTCCTAAAACGTTTACAATCTAGTTAATCATAATTCATTTCAGAAATCAGTTTAATAGTTAAGAGTGCAGAATCAAACCAGACTAATTGGGTTCAAATCTTGGCTCCCCCAATTTCTTGAGTGCCGTGGGTAAGTTATTTAGCCTGTTTGAGCTTCAAGTGCTCACCTGTAGATAAAATGGGGATAATGGTACCCAATTCATATAATTGTGTTGATTAAATCAATTATGTCAAGTGTTTTGAACAGTGCCTGAAACAGTTAGTGCCATAAGTAATCCCTACTGCTAGTTCTGCTGCCACTACTGTTGCTGCTGCTGGATCCTTCCTTGATGTTTCTATAGCTTACAAAGCTCTTTCCTGTAAATTATGTCCTCCTAACCCTTACAACAACTTCGCAAGGGAAGTCAGGTATTGAGCTCATCTGAAGGCTGAAGTTGGGAAGTTGACTCGATAAGGTCAAGATGTAGTAGGAGGCAAAGCTGGAACTCAGATCCAGATGTTTTAACTCCTGGGTCAATGTTCTTTCCTTAACCCTGCCATATACCTTCCTGAGGATGAGTACTCTGTACCTGGGAGAAGTTGGCAGACCCACTGGTTTCTGATGAGATGTGTTGGGCTGGCTGAATCGGGAGGAATTCACCTGTCTCTTCATCTAGTTGCAACTGAGCGAAAAAGGCTTTCTCTTGCTCCTTTTGGAGTTGTTCTTGTCTTTCTTGTCTTTCAAGTGTTTTCTGTTTTTCCAGCTCATGCTGCAGTCGTTGAGTGAAGTCAAATACTTCTCGACTTACACCAAGATCTATATCTTGCCTCCATAGTATGTCAATCAAATCCATGTCCTACATTTAAAACAAAAGAGGAAGGAGAGAGACCTTGGTTAAGATGGTTTTAAAATGGCAGATACCACATAATGTACATTATGCCATTGTTGATGGTGGGGGGTGGGGAAATTACAAACAAAATCTGAATGGCAACACAGATCCAATGTGCTGGAAGGGCACAGTTAATTCCATTCGACGAATCCATTCTTTAAAAAAACAAACCCACAGACACAGCCATCCCTTCTCATCACTTGCTGCTTGGATTATTAATCTTTGGGTGATGGTGAGGTCACCAAAGAGCAAAGTAAGAAACACTGCACATAAAAGTTCTTGAAGTAAAAGAAATCCCACACTTGTTTAATGGTATATAGAAATTAGAGCAAGCACTCCAAGCCACTGGGCTATTATGAGAAATGGAGTTTGGAAAACATGGAAATGTGTTGCATTTTTTCCTAAACTGACCCAGCAAATATCCACTTTATAGAGGGGAAAAATCCCAGGTTAAATTTTCAATCTAGCAGTTGTGAAGTATCACCACTCTTTCAGTCTTTCCTACATTGGATTATCTTTTCTCCATCATTTCTTGCTACTCTTGTCGCTGTGGCTCACTTATTAAAACAATTTCCTCTTGACTTGAGTTTTAGCACCTGAGACATGAACAAACTGGTAAAAAAGCCCTGGCTCATGGTAATCTTGTGACGTGGGTAAAGCGAGGGGTTGTCCGTTACCTACCAAAAGAGTTGAGAAAGGGGTTGTGCCCACGAGGTTCACTCCTGAGAAATCGTAAGTAACCCTCTTAAAAAAAAAAACCCAGAAACAAAACAGCTCCAGGGAGAGATGGAAGGTATTAAGTTTTAAAATAAGAGGAGAATCTTACAATGAGGGAATGGTTATTTCAATGTCTGTAACAAGGCTACGCCTAGGAGCCACATCCAAATCTTCCTAAGCACAGTGCATCAAAAGCAGTTTTTCTGATTTACAACTTTAGTTTTCGGTAACGTCTAAACGTAGGAAATTTAAATCATTTCCCATTGAACAAATCATCTACATTGAAAATAATGAGATCGAGACTGGGAAAGTGAAGACATAGGTGGAAAGGGAGTTGGGCCTGAAGGCCAGCAGACGGCGTGCACAAACATCAAACTTGGTATTTCAGTTCTGATGGCGGCTGGCAGCACCAGGCTGCCCAGGATGTCTACAGCTCTGCTACTTTCAGCCTCCCAAGGACAAAAATATCGTGGTGGTTGCTTCAGTGAGCAGTCAGGCTATTTTTACCCAACAAAGGAGGAGCAGGCCACCCAGTCTAGAGGCAGAACAGCTAGCTGGATAACAGGCCGCCTCTAGCCTTGACTGAAAGTTGGTGTCAGAATCTCAAATGCTACAAAACCCTGCTCATGAGGTTCATCATCATTCTAGCCTTGAACAGTATAATATATAGTATAAAGCACACACACTAGGTATAGTTAAAACAGCATCTGTAGCTCTTTAGAACCAGCTAGGGTATACGTAACTTTTTAAGCCAGCATCTGTTAAGGGCTTTCTATATGCCAAGCATTGTTCTGAGTACCTTAGATAAACACGAACTAGTCCTCAAAACAGCCATATAAAGATAATATATATCCCTGTTATACAGATAATACTGAGGTCTAGAAAGAAGGGATACTACTAGAAAGTGGCTGAACAGGACATGCACCCAAGCAGCCTCAATCTTGGACATATGCTTTTTTAACCACGAGCCTACACTAGAAATAGAAAATCTGATCATTGGCCAGCGGTTCCTAAATTGGGGAGGATATAAAATCCATTTTCATATATATACTTTGCCGTGACATCTTGGTGGTGTGAAGAAATGGCCAGTTTACTGAAGGCTGGATTGAGCACGTGTCACTTGGATCGCTTTCCTGGCCACAAGCAACAAAATAGCAACCACAGAGCATTCAGTCATACACGGCTGTCTTCTCAGGCTGCCCACTAAAACAAAGCATGAGGATAATTTCCACTGTAAAAGTGATTTGTTTCCATTGACCCAAACGTCATGAGAAAGAGACAGGTCCAAGGCCTAGGGCAGTCTACTTTAAAATTCTGATTAGGTGGGGCCGTGTCTTCTTGGTGAATCTAGATACAGTAGAGTATCCTATCTAGGCTAGTCTTTAAACTGGAGCTAGAGACCAAGATATTAAGGAGGTGTTCAGTATACTCGCAACTGCTGAATGCTAGCACTCAGAATGAAAAGAATGCAGGATCACCAATCTCGACTGCACTCTAGTTTCTCTCTCTCTAAAAAGGCCATACCTGTTCCCATCCCCCTCAAAAACTGATGCGCAAAGTGCGCTGAGCTCTTCAGGAGATCAGTGAGAGAAACCCAAATACTCGTCCCTGCACCTGGGGGCCACTCTGACACATCCCTCCCTCTCTGTCCTCAGACTGCCTAGGCCTGGGGCTTCTTGTTAAAGAGAGCCCAGGATAAACACTAGTGTCCAGTTTTGACTTTTTTGTAAAAGAACTGAAAGAGCACTGACGCAATTTATGTTGGAAACACCTGCTCACAGCTCTGCCCTTTCCAGTGCCTGCCTAGACCCCAGCCCTGCAGGGTGGAGGAAAATTTCTTTTTTTTTTTAAATTTTTTTAAATTTATTTTATCCATTTTTTAATTTTTGTTTTCCTTTTTCTCCCCAAAGCTCCCCAGTGCATAGTTGTATATTCTTCGTTGTGGGTCCTTCTAGTTGTGGCATGTGGGACGCTGCCTCAGCATGGTTTGATGAGCAGTGCCATGTCCGCGCCCAGGATTCAAACCAACGAAACACTGGGCCACCTGCAGCGGAGCGCGCGAACTTAACCACTCAGCCATGGGGCCAGCCCCAGAAAATTTCTAATGTAATTTACTCCAAAACCACCAGTAGCAGCCACACCACGAGTTTCTAGAACTCTGTTCTTCTTCCCCTCCCCCCCCCCACCACCAGATGAGATGTCTTGAGTGGGTTCAGATGGTTTAACTATAAATTTAGTATACAGCCATGCATTGCATGACGACGTTTCAGTCAACGATGGACCGCATACATGACAGTGGTCCCTTAAGATTAGTACCATGTCGCCTACGTGCATAGTTGGCTATACTGTCTGGATGTGTAAGTACACACTATGATCGCAAAACGATGAAGTCACTTAAGGACGCGTTTCTCAGTATGTCTCCCCGTCATTAAGCAAGGCATGACTGTAATTGTTCCATCCTACCCCTATCATACAGATGTTGGTGGATCAAATGAGACATGAAAGAAATCTCTCTATAAATGTAAAGTATATGCAAACGCTGTTATGCATGCTGACAGTGATGGGCCCTACTACTTGCTGTAAGGGAGACCAAACTCCAGGCCACTGGATAACAATGAAGTGGTGGACCTAACTGTAGTGGCTGCCTGAAATAACATTCAGCAATGAAGCTACTTGGTTGCTACTCAGGGAAGGTCTGAAATTGACTACTGGGCATGTGCAACATGTGTTGTAAATGAAAATAAATGACATATACTTTTATGTATATTTTGTACACACATATACCCATTCAACGGCTGCTCAATTCCTGATATGACTACCCTTCAAGGCACAGCGCCAAACCAATTCAAGCTTTTGAAACTTCCCAAACATGATCAGAGAAGGACACCTTGTGGATCCTTATCAACAGGAAAAATAAAACTGGCAGCATCATTTGGATCAGGTCTTGAGCATCCTGTCCTCATGACCTGCTCTGAAGCAATGCTGGACCCCGGGAGGCAGAGTGGTTCCTACAGCCCTAGCTTACTATTTCCACCAGGAATGCCACCAGAAGACCTTTCAAGTGACAATGCCTATGCAGGCCGGGCAGCCTTCGGTGAGATCAGAATGGGACCAAAACAGGTTTCAAAGTGTTCTCAGAGGTTTTCCTCTGTATTTTTAAGTTTATTTTTATGAATGTTTATTCTTGCTATGAGAGGTTTCTAAAAGAAAAATTCTCCTTTAAAGAAAAAAAAACCCCTGAATTTTGACTACTTGAATTCTGATCAAATTCAGAACGCAGCCACAACGGGTTTCTTGTCATAGCCTTAAAAGGTATGTCATACTTGCGTTTCTTAAATTTTCACATAAGTTTCTGAAGAAAGAACCTGGTGGGACTTGATAATGTATGAAATATTCAAAGCTTTATGTTGAAAGAGGGAACAGCAGAGGCTTGTCCACCCGCCTCACTGCTGGGGAGCCCCACAGGCTCAGGGCCGGGTCCGTGCTAACCCAACAGGCAGCGCGCGTTTCCTGTAAGAAGCCCTGTGACCAGGCACATGACTTATTCCACAAGTGACCCATCTCTTTGCAAAGCTCGCACACCATCTGAGAGGAAATGGCCTGGGCGGAGCCCATAACAAAGGAGAACATGACACCGGACAGTGAGGATGGGAAATGCCCAAGGAAGAACTAAAACTGCTCTTTGGCACAGGAATCCAAGGCGCTGGGGAAGTACAGCGACTTCTCCCCTCCAAGCCCCTAAGGAGGAAGGCTGCCACGCAGAGTGGCAGACAGGAAATGTTTGGGAGGGAGAGGAAGCAGGGGGATAGTCTGTACATATTCCAACAGGTATTTCCTCAAGACAGTGAAAACGCTTCCCGAGGGCAACCAGGCGCTGGCTGTGGGCCTTCCCGTGCCATGTGGAGCAAATGCTGCCTGCCGCTTAGTGTCTGAATTTTTTTTTGTTGTCCTTTAGCAATTTCTGAGTGTGTTCCCAAATTCTGTCGCTAGCTTGGCTTAGACAAAAGAAGACAGTGTAATAAGAAATATAACTGTTCGACAATTTGAGTTAAATCACCATCTGGCTCAACGGAAATATTCATATTTAAAATGTATATATATCATCGTTTGCCATCTGGGTAATCTGTTATATGTTTTATGGGAAATCTGAAGTTGGCCTATTAACTCATACTACTTTAAAACAAACATCTTTGTTCCAGGATAAACAAAGAAGAGAGGCCTTGAGCACAGAATCCCATATTAAATATGTC